GCTGCTCCAGATACATGTGTTGCAGAGCATGATGCACATGACTCTGACATATAACTGGTTGCTTCATCAACAACATTCCATTCCGATAAGTGGATATTAGATTCGGGTTGCACCTATCATATGTCTCATAATCGGGAGTGGTTCTCCGATTTAGTGGAACTAAATACATGAGTTATTTATATAGGCAATGACAATGCCTGTAAAACTGTTGGGATATGTTCAATTCGATTGAAGAATCAAGATGGATCAACCAGAGTTCTGACAGATGTCCGATACGTGCCCAGTTTGAAGAAAAATCTCATCTCGTTGGGAGCCTTGGAATCCAAAGGCTCAGTAGTCACTATGAGAGATGGAGTTATAAAAGTCACATATGGCGCACTTGTGATGATGAAGGGCATCAGGAAAAATAATTTGTATTACTACCAAGGTAGTATAATTATTGGAGCAGTTACAGCAGCTTCCGGAGGTGATGATTTGGACGCAACCCAGTTGTGACATATGCGGTTGGGACATGCTGGAGAGAAATCCTTACAAATTCTGGCAAAGAAATGATTGTTGAAAGGTGATAAGGCTTGCAAATTGAACTTTTGCAAGCATTGTGTTATGGGAAAGTAGAAGAGAGTGAAGTTTGGCACCACTATACATAATACAAAAGGTATTGTAGATTATATTCACTCAGATGTATGGGGTCCTTCAAAGACATCGTCTTTGGGAGGAAACCATTATTTTGTAACTTTTGTAGATGACTTTTCTAGAAGAGTTTGGGTGTATCCGATCAAGTCTAAAGATGAAGTGCTTCAAATTTTCCTTAAATGGAAAAATATGATCGAAAACCATACTGGTAGAAAGATCAAACGTCTTATGACGGACAAGGAGGGGAATATAAAAGTGACCAATTCTTTGACGTTTGCCATGAGTATGGTATTGTTCTACACTTCACTGTTTGACATACACCACAACAGATTGGGGTGGCAGAGCGTATGAATCTAAAACTATTGGAGAAAGTTCAATGTATGTTGTCTAATGCTGGGTTAGGCAAGGCAATTTGGGCTGAGGCTGTGACATATGTTGGTCATCTCATCAATCATCTGCCATCATTAGCGATAGGAGGAAAAACATCATTGGAGGTATGGTCTGGAAAACCTGCTACTGATTATGATTCCGTACATGTATTTGGATCCACTGCTTATTATCATGTGAAGGAATCTAAGCTTGATCCGAGAGCAAAGAAGGCTCTCTTTATGGGAATCACCTATGGAGTGAAGGGATTTCGCCTTTGGTGTTTAGACATCAATAAGATAATTTGTAGCAGAAATGTTACCTTTGATGAATCTGCCCTAGTAAAGAAGGTAACAATTGAAGCTGTCCAGACAAGTAGAACTCCGCAGCAGGTGGAGCATACTCCAAAATAGGTGAAGTTTCAGCAGATGATGATCCCAGAAGTTGATGCAGCTGATTCTTTAACTCCAATAGAAGAATCAGAAAATGAAGATGTTCAAACCCAAGAACCATTGGAGACACCAGAATCACTTGCAGTTACAAGGCCAATGAGAGAAATTCGTAGACCTGTTCGATTTGTTGATATGGTGGCCTATGATCTTCTAGTTGTTGATGATGATATCCCTATCACTTACCAAGAAGCAATACAAATCTTGGAAAGTGATAATTGGAAAAGTGTCATGGATGAAGAAATGCAATCTCTCTAAAACAACAACACTTGGAAACTGGCACAATTACCGAAAGGTAAAAGAGCCATTAGATGCAAGTGTGTATTTGTAAAGAAAGATGGATCTCATAACAAGAAATATGTTCGCTATAAGGCACGGTTGGTAGCTAAAGGCTACGCTCAAAAGGAGGGAATCGACTACAATGAAGTATTTTCCCCTGTTGTGAAGCATTCCTCCATTAGAATATTGTTGGCCTTGGTAGCACAGTTGAATTTGGAGCTAGCTCAACTTGATGTAAAGATGGTTTTCTTGTACGGTGATTTAGAATAGGAGATCTATATGACTCAGCCAGAAGGATACAAAGATGGCGGTTGTGAGAAATGGGTTTGTAAGCTGAACAAATCACTATATGGATTGAAGTAATCTCTGAGGCAGTGGTACAAGCGATTTGATAGCTTTATGAGGAGGCAAAAATATACTACAAGCAAATATGATCATTGTGTGTATTTGCAAAGCTCAAAGATGGATCTTTCATTTATCTTCTCTTGTACGTTGACGATATGTTGATCGCTTCAAAGAGTCAAAAGGAGATAGACAAATTAAAGGCTCAGCTGAATCAAGAGTTTGAGATGAAAGATCTAGGTGAGGCCAAGAAGATTCTTGGTATGGAGATAAGCAGAGATAGACAGAGAGGGAAGCTTTGTTTAACACAGAAGCAGTATCTGAGAAAGGTATTATAATGTTTTGGCATGAATGAAAATACCAAACATGTAAGTATCCCATTGGCTTATCATTTAAAACTTAGTTCTCAATTATCTCCTAAAACTAATGAAGAACGAGTGTATATGGTAAAAGTTCCATATGCTAATGCAGTTGAGAGCTTGATGTATGCAATGGTGTGCACGCGTCCTGACATTTCACAAGCAGTTGGAGTTGTGAGTAGGTACATGCATGATCCTGGAGAAGGACATTGGCAAGCTGTGAAATGGATTCTACGGTATCTCCAACAAACCGTGGATGTTGGTTTAGTTTTTTAACAGGATGAAGCACTTTGTAAGTATGTGGTTGGATATGCTGATTCTGATTATGCTGTTGATTTGGATAAGCGTCGATCAACTACTGGGTATTTGTTTACTCTTGCTAAAGCCCTAGTAAGTTGGAAGTCTACATTGCAATCTACGGTGGCCTTGTCTACTACAGAGGCAAAATACATGGCAGTTTCAGAGGCTGTAAAGGAAACAATTTGGCTTAACGGGTTGATGGAAGACTTGGGAGTTGTTCAAAGTCACATTAGTCTCTATTGTGACAGTCACGGCGCTATTCACTTAGCGAAAAATCAAGTCTACCATTCAAGGACTAAGCATATCGACGTGAGGTATCACTTTGTACGGGAGATCTTTGAAGAATGAAAGATTCTACTTCAGAAAATTGCGACATCAGAAAATCCTGCAGATATGATGGCCAAGGTGGTAATAGTAATCAAGTTCAATCATTGTTTGAACTTGATTAACATCCTGAAAGTATGAACACCTTCGGGTGTGTGGCGTTTGTAAGCGCAATTAGAGGCACTACAAATTTGGGGAGTTGAAGAAGTTGAGTAGGCTTGGTAATTTCAAGCCAAGGTGGAGATTTGTCTAGAAATTAAGTTGACAAGTTGGAAATTTCATCTTGGTTGGTGGCCAACTTATTGAAAATTTCATCTTGGTTGGTAGCCAAACTTTGAACATGTGAATTTCATATTTGGTGGCTAACTTGTACACATTGGAAAATTCTTTGGTATGTGGCCAAACTTTTAATATATTGTTCTTAAAACTCAACTATAAATAGGCCTAAGAATTTCTATTAGAAATCATCCCAAAAACAAGTTCTCTCTTCCTCTTGTATTATTCATTCTCCCACTTTGGGAATTCTAAAGAATTCCATTTGTTGTAATATTGGCGATATAGTGAAGTTATCATCCGGTGTGGTGCCCGAGGAGTAGACGATATTCTCGTCGAACCTCGTAAATTTGGTGTGTTCTCTCCTTTATTGTTTTTATTCGGTTCTTTTCCATTGTGTTTCAATATTCAATAGTTTGACAGGTTTATCCGCTGTGCAACCTTTGGCGGTTTTAATCTTAACATTTTAGGTCAATTTTAAAACTACGTTCGTGTGAGAAATAACCCATTTTCCCCAACAGAAATTGTCCCTGTCCGCCCCCATCGATCGATCCATCCCTGGTTATCCCACTAATATATTTTAACTTTAGTGATTTATTAATTAATAATTATCACATATTCGTATTTATATAGATTGTGTGGCTATCCGTCTACTTCACTATCTATTGCTGAGATAATTCTCAATCATTTTAATTGATTCATTAATTCGGGAAATGAGTTGTGGGGCTGATATTTAAAATAAGTTATTAATTTTAAAATTACTCACAATTTTAATTATTGTATCCAAATTAATCGCTATTTAATTTTACAATCCTTTGAATATTAGATTTAAGAACCTATGTGACTTTAATTATTAAATAAAATATGTTTCTTTTTAGAAATTTTAAATTTAAACATGTAAATTTATAGAGTTAATTTTTATCTTTAAGCAACACGTAAATTTACAATCGACTCTTGTTTGATAGTGAATGAAGTAATTTAGTTCCTAAGGTCAATTAATGGGTTATAGAGTTTAAGTTGTTTGAGCTAAAGATTGCGTTAGTGACTTAAGTTCTCAAGTAATTTTGTTCATGATATACACAATTTTCCCATACAATTATTTAAACTTAAAGACATGTAAAAAAACACCTTTTAATCATTAATATTGTTTAATAAATTCGATTAAATTTCATTTTTTCTAAAATTATATCATGCATTTAATCAAACAGGATCAATATTTTTTTAATTAAGCTAAGATGATTACAAAATAATATTTGTTTTAAATATTTTAAGTCATTTGACAATGAATACTCAATCACCTTGTTGTAGTTGTTAGTGCTCGAACCCATGTTATATAATAATAATAACGACTTCTTTAACTACTGAGGTAAATTAATTCGTGACAACCGACCGAATCAACTCACATCTCTAATTTAAACACAAAAATTAAAAGAACAAAACTTAACTTTCAATTATTTGGGAGCGTGGGTACAAGCGTCGTCTAGAGAGAGTGGTGGTGGTAGTGCGGAGCCTATCGTATGTGCTGTTTACATACGCGTCCATGAAAACCACATCTTGTTGGATTAAATCAACGGCTCTGATCATTTGAAGAAGCCAATTCGAACGTCATGCAACGCACCCCCACGTGGTATAAATATGTAACCTCCCCAGCCCCCCCAACTTAGTTCACAATAATTCGTACTCCCCCGTCTCAGGTTTCAACCCTTTCGCTTCTGTTTGGCTTCTTTTTCCCCATCCAGTTAGCTAGATTGAAAACGAATCTTTTTTTTTCTTTTCGCGGAAAAGAAAATTTAAATTTTCCCATCAAACAATCACATGCTTGCAATGGAAAATATTGAGAATATTGGCGATGAGTACAAAAATTATTGGGAGACAAAATATTTCCTTGAAAACGAAGAGTACAGGTACCTTCTTACCTTTTTCCATTTCAATTCGCAGTGCTAGTAATCCTTTAAAAGGTGAAACGGCTTTGGCTAAGGCATATAGTGCATAAGAAAACAGTAGAGAATTGAATCTGAATTATTACAAATTAGAAAAGAGATTTTAATTTTTCTTTTTATTTGAATCCGAAATGAAACAGTTGGGCGATGGATGAGTTCTCCGGCTACTACGATTCGAGTTCTCCCGACGGAGGAAGCTCCTCCGTCGCCTCTAAGAACATCGTTTCCGAGAGAAACAGAAGGAAAAAGCTTAACGAACGCCTCTTTGCTCTCAGAGCTGTTGTTCCAAATATCAGCAAAGTATGTTTGTTTTTGTTTTTAGAGAAGAAAACAATTGAAGAAATGGCATGGATCCTTAGTTCGTTTGTTGTTTGATGAAATGTTCGCAGATGGACAAGGCTTCAATTATCAAGGATGCCATCGATTACATCCAGGAACTGCACGATCAAGAGAGCAGAATCCTGGCTGAGATCACGGAATTAGAGTCTGGAAAATTGAAGAACAATCCAGGGTTCCAGCACGACCAAGAGCTGCTACCTGTGCTGAGATCCAAGAAGACCAAGCTCGACAACATTTTTGATTATGGAGGATCAACGGCTTCCCCCATTGAAGTTCTTGAAGTACTAATAATCTCTATCTCCCTCTCTCTCAAGCTGATAATTGTTTTCAAATTTTTTGACTCCCAATTAATTTTGTTTTTGAAGCTGAAAATGACTCAGATGGGAGAAAAGACGATTGTGGTGAGCATAACGTGCAGCAAAAGGACAGACACGATGGTCAAACTGTGCGAGGTTTTTGAATCTTTGAATCTCAAAATTATCACGGCAAACATCACAGCGGTCTCCGGTAGGCTGTTGAAAACCGTGTTTATCGAGGTAAGTCCATTTCTTCTAACTGGTTTTTTTCACTTCCAATTCACCATTTTATATATCTTTTTTTCTGTGTCGTGATACGCGACAACACAACCCGCAAAATCTGTGCATATATTTAAGACTCTAACATTTTAGAGTAAACTACAACTTTAGTGTATAAACTGTCAATTTAGGTTCGTTTTAGTATTTAAAATTTTAATTCTTTTAAAACTATACCTAAAGTTTAGTTTTTATTTTATTTTAGTACATCGTTATTAAAAACTTATCGTGTTTAGTACCTAAACTATCGGTTTTGATCTATTTAGTATCTATTTTTTTTTTCAAAACTTAACGTTAAGTTTTTAACGGGGTATTAAATTGAAACAAAAACCAAAATTTTAGGTGTGGTTTTGAAAAAAATAAAAGTTGAGATACTAAAACAAATTAAAACTGATAGTTTAAGTACTATATTCATAATTTATCCTTAATTTTCTTTATTTTGCACGAGTTCAACAAATTTTGATTATTTTCGTAATATAATATCTGCATGCTTAATAAAAATAAGATAAAAAAATGGAATTTAAATCCTCAGGTCCATGCTTAAAAGCAATTAAGTTGATTATTTAGGTCTAATTCTCAGCTTATTTAAAAAGAAATAATTAGTCAAAAAAAGATCTCAATAATACAAATATTATATTAAATTATTCAATAAAAGAACAATCAGTAAAAAAAAATTCATAAACAAATGAGTAGTCGCACTTTATTTATTAAGTAAAATGGTAAGAAATTACATATCCTTAACTAAGCCTAGATAAATTTGAAAGTTCTATTCAAATTTTATATAGCCTCCAAGTTTATATGACCACTAGAAGATCTTTAAAAAAATAATTGTAAAATAAAAAATAAGATCACTAATTGCTGGATGATGTAATGACAAATAAAATACAATAAATAGTGGCGTACAACACATAGTTCGAAGGGTATCAAATAAAATAAAAAAACGGCCAGACACGTGGGGCCAAAAAGATTGGACACCGAGGGATAAACTTTAATAAAGTGGACTATCCATTACCATTTTCTATTGACTAGTTTAATATATACTCACAAACGTGAGAAATAAATAATTAATATAACAATAAAAATAATAATGTAGTAGTTAAGTACTTTAGTAATTTACATCCCAAATACAGAAAATATCAGTTTTAACCTTTTGCTTAAAACTTAAACTACCATGTAACTTTACTATTATTATTATTATTATTATAATTTAACTTAACAAGTATTTAAATTGAATTGTTGTCATGTAATTTATAATAATTTGATAATTTAATCATTTAGGGTTAGTGAGATACAGAGTGTCCGAATAAGAACAGCTCCGACACAACTAAAGTAGGAAAGGAAAAGAGAAAGTGAAAGGACCAGATCACTCTCACTTTAAACGTCCAACATTACAATCTATCATCGATTATGCTATTTTGTTCTATTAATTTCTTATTCAAGATATATAAAGTTTCAACTGCTTCAATCAAACACGTCACTCTGTCAAAAAAATCATACACCCGCCATCAGGTAAGTCCACTAAGATTATAATCGAAAATAAAATAAAAGACAAATGTTGAGATTAATTTGTTAATAGAGTGAATTCATCAAGTGATCTAAATGGTAAAAAAAAATTATTGTTCTTAAAAATTTTAGATTCGAGCACCTGTGTTTGTAGTATGTATAAATTACCAATAATCTAAAAGAATTCTTAATAGATATTTTCGTATAATTACTTTTAGATAACTAAAGAAAATACTATGATGATAGAGGAGGAATCAAGATTTATAAAGATTTTATTTGTGATTTAGTTTTAAAATATATTGTTTTTTTTATTTTGAGAATCTTAATTATTATTGAATGTTAATTTTACTCCTCTTTTTTTCATTGATAAAATTGTGTCATATATTAGGTTTTTGTTAACTTTTTTGGCTAAAACTCGAAACGGGATAAAATGATATTTCAGATTATAAAACCTAATTACAATATCAAAGTAAAAAACAATATAAAAAAGAAATAAAATCATAAATTATATCATTTGAAAGTGGTTTACTTAGAGAAATAGTTTCAAAGAATAGGGATGATTAAATATTATTTAAGAAAATAGATTGTTTTAAACAATTTAATTCAAAATCTTCTTCAAGTAATTACAATTTAAAGGCAAAGGCATATTGAGAGTTTTTAGAATCTGCTAGGAATTTGTTTTATTGTATTTCTTTCCTATTTCATACACAGTAATCAAAACTTTTCCTCTTTGTCTCCAACCGGTCCCAGTAATTCTGACGTTTCCGAATCATCACGCTAGTACTTGGACCAACACACCATATCGTGTTTCCCATAAATCATTGCTGTGATTTTCATGAAATTATCGGACAAAAGTCCATAATCGTCCGCAAACCACATGGTAACCTCATGCGTCAAAATATTTTTATATATAAAGTTGCTATTAAAACGTGGTCTTACCCTGAAATAGAAAAAAATATGATGGATGTGGTTTAATATGTCACCTTTTCACATTTCCTTTTCATAAATGTGAATATATTCAAATATGTTTTCCCTCAGGATACGTAACTGCTCCTCTTGAGGAATTTCATAGATTTATATATTTCAACTTTTTTTTATTAATATAGAATGATTATAAAGTAATATACATATTTAAAAAATATTTAACTAGTTGATGACATACACACACGTTGTATATATAATTGCTCGATTCTAAAATTTCTAGAAATAATAATATTTTATTTTATCATTAGGGATGGGTATGAGACCCGAACTTGATGGGTTCCGACCCAATCCAATCGGATTTTTTTAAAAGTGATGTTCGGGTCTGGTCGGGTTCGGGTTTAGGGTGAAAAATACTTTATCCGACCCAAAAAATATAATTTCACCTTATTTATTTAGGGGTAATTACAATAATACATATCTATATATTAGATTTTTAAATTAAATCTATATTTTTATCGGATAAAAAAATATATTTTTTTATTTCGGGTCAGGTCGGGTTCGAATTTTTACTACAATAATTCGGATAGGATTTGGGTTGAGTTGAGGGTATTAAATTTTCGGATCGGGTCAGGTCGGGTGAAGGGTATAGATTTTTCGAGTCGGGTTGACCAAAATTTGACCCAAACCGACTCGTGCCCATCCCTATTTATCACTGCGACCGACCTCTTGATGTGTTCAATTTTTTTAATAGAAAAGAGGCTAAAGGCCCTTAGATGTGTTCATCTTTTCATTTTAAGTTTTTTGTTGTTTATTAATTTTTATGTTATATGATTTACGGTTATATAAATTCTAAGAGCATAATATAATTTCTTTTAAAAAATAAAGGGTAATGTACATAAATGGTCCTTCGACTATAGCATACAACTTTATTAAGTCCATTGATTATAAAATGGTCATTCGACTATAAAGTGTTGCTTTGTTGAGTCCCTCAACTATTAAAAGTTATAAAATGGTCACTCGACTATTCATTATGTTCTAAACTCGCCCTTTTCATTAAAAAATTGACGGTATTATGAGCTTAATGTTAACATGCTGAATGAGATATGATAAAATTTGATCCTAGAATCTCAAACGGCTATCATATCTCATCCATCATGTTACCGTTCAGCTTAGACAACTAACAAATTTTTAACATAAAAGGACGAGTTGAGAATATAATAAATAGTCGGGTGATTATTTTATAACTTTTAACAGTCAAAGGACTTAACAAAGTAACATTCTATAGTCGAATGATTATTTCGTAACTTTTAATAATCAAGGGACTTAATAAAGCAATACCCTATAGTTGGTGGACCATTTGTGTACTTTACCCAAAAAGTATAATATAATTTTAACTTATTTCTTTAAAAAGTTTATTCTAGGAGCATAATATAATTCTCACATGCATTTGATAAATTCTAGTCTTATTCACTAGTCTTGTGGCTTGACATACATAAATGCAGGCAGATGAAAGGGAGAAGGATGACGTAAAGGTGCAGATTGAAGCAGCCATTGCAGCTCTGAACGAACCGCAGAGTCCAATGAGCATGTGATGAATGAATGAGTGAGCGAATAATATGCGTTGCCATTTCATTTCACCATCGTCTTGCCTCGTAGAGTATTTAGCTTTATGCCGTCTTTTATGTTCGAAATGTAAGCTTAATGAGTCCATGTCTTTGTAAAATAAGTGTATGCTCCATTGTCCTGTGTCTGAATTTTCAATAGAATAATAATTTTCGACCTTTCAATGAAAGAAGACACCAATTCTCTCTTAATTAAGTTAAGAATCTGCTTAAATTATTAAACGGTAAATTATACTTTTAGTACCTAAACTATTAGTTTTGATCTGTTTTAGTATCCCGTTCAAAATTTAAAATTTAATGGTAAATTTTGAAAAAAAAGAATTGAAAGTTTAGTTACTAAAACGGGTCAAAATTGATAGTTTAGGTAATACATGTGTAGTTTTTTTTTTGAATAAATGAATTTTATTTATCCAGAAAAAAACCCTAGAGTACAAACAATCAAACATAATCAAAACCACAAATAAAGGGAAACAGCCCCTAAAACAGATTCCACTGTACCCAAAGAGATCTATTAAGTAGGGAATCTTTACAAACGGCAATCCAATCAGTCTACCTCTAACTGTTTCCTTAATACATTGAAAAATTGCCTCTTCCTACAAGAATTTTGTTGGAAGATCTGCAAATTCCTCTCCACACATGATAAATAAACGAATTTCATACAACTTCCAAAACAGCAGTGAGCAAAGACTGACCCTTAAGGCGAGAAATCGCCCAGGCAAGCTTCCAGCTCCAACTCCCCACACTACGCTGCAAAAGGCAAGCCTGTAGGACACTCAACCAGACTAATTTAGAGAAAAGGCAACCAAAGAAGCTATGGTCCCTACACTCAAGTTCACTACCACAAAGAACACAAACAACATCCACATTAATATCAAAAGACAACAACCTATCTTTTATATGTAACCTATTCAAAGTAGTCATCCAAAAGTGATTGGGTGCTTAGGGTTGTGAAACTGATGCCACTCCACCTTGTTAATTAAATTCGAGTATTATAGAATTTCATTATAGAAATACTCCTGAAATTCTGGGCCTACTCCATGGAAGGATCATATTTTCGAAGATAGAAGGCGGGGTAGACCTGGCAAATCTGACCCAAACCCGATTGTCCGAATTGATTTACGAATCAATACCCGAAATAGATCTGAACATGATGACCCAAATTTGGCTCAAAACTCGAAAAAACCAAAACCGACCCGAATTTTAACCAAATTGAAAGTAAATTGAACCGAATCGAAACCGACCCAAATTTAACCAAACCGAAAGCAACCCTAACCGAAAATAACTCGAATTTAATTTACCCAAACCTGATATTTTTTACAAAAATATATCAATAATTCTATATATAATTGATTTGACTTATACCCAACTCAACCTGAATTGACATGAAGATCCAAAGTTGACCAAAACTGAAAATAATTAATCGGATATTGACCTAACCCGAAAATCAACCAATCTAATTTGATATTAACCCAACTTACTATAGACTTGAATAAAATCGAAACCCGAAATGACCCGACTAGGACACAACTCGACTTACTATAAACCCAAGTAAAACTTAAACCCAAAATGACCCAATTCGACCCAAACCAACCGAAATGACTCGAACTGAACCCAATCCGAATGACCCATTTGCCACCTCTAGGCAGGGATCAAATTGCTTAGATTGAAGTTAGATTAACCAAAGGATTAATTATTCTACGTCCAACATGTTTTTAGTAATCACTTTTACATTTGACAATTGTAAATCCCAAATCCAATGGAGTTGTTATAAATATGAAATTTAAGAATTAATGACATATATTTGTTAATGGTAACTTCTTAGTTCTATAAAATTATAACATTTGTTTTGTTTAATTTTCTATATAAACTAATATAAATAATACTTGAAAAACTAGAGCAAATCGAGCAAGAGCCAAGAAGGGTAAATCTTTTCCGTCAAACTCAAAACTCAAGTATTATTTTGGGAGAGCTACTTGTATAGCCACTAAACTATAGGATATGTTTTATTTAGATCATTAAATTATAATTTATTCAATCGAATCACTTAAGTATTTAAATAGTAACAATCAAACCACCAAACGTTTATAAATAACGAAAATATTGACCTAAATTTAAAGTTCATATTTAAGGTTAAATTTAATTTGAACAAATATAATGCATGCTAATTCATGAAATTCAAATTTTGAATTTGACTTGACCTAAATTATAAATATATTGAGTGACTTTTATGACAAATAAAAATATTATTCTCTTAAAAATTCAAATTTAAATGGTTTCTACTTAAAGTTGTATTATTAGAAAAAAAAACTAAAATACATTAGGAAAAAGAAAAGAAAATTGATAGAGAAGGCCAAGCGGATAAAAAAATAGCTCATTACGTCATTTCTAAATTTATTTGAAATCTACGACAAATACAACATTACATGAAAAACTCGTAACAATTACATGATTAGTTTATCTAAATAATTTTTTTATTTAAACTCGTTACGTCGACGTGATGAATTTTAAAAAATATAATATCTTATTAAAATTTGTCTCATCGATATGGTAATTTTTAATAAAAAAAATATTTTATTAAAACTCTTTATGTGAGCGTGATAAATTTCAAATCACCATAATAATACTGTAGATCTCAATTTAATTTCAAAGATGATCTGTTAGGCAATTTTTGCTGAGAAAACCCGGCCCGGTGGCCCGTTGACATCCTAGACATAGTTGACGTGGGATGTCTATAGTTGGGCTTGGGCGTGTCTTCTTGTTTTGTTTTCGAGCTGTATTTATATCTTACGGCGGACTTTATAGCAAAAGGCTAAAGCTTCAGCCACCGTAAACAGATTTAATTTCTCGTGGTGTTTATTCTCTCCGGGACGGCAATAATGGAGTCTTTGCTGGCCAACTATGCTTCCGACGACGAAGAAGAACCCCAAAAAATCACACGGCCTCCGACGACGAAGAGTCCTTCTCTCCCTCCACCCAAATCTTCTTCCCTTTTCTCCTCTATTCCCCAGCCTAATCAACCCCTCAAATCGCTCCAAAAAGAAGACGGCGGCGGCAAAGTAGCTGTGGCTATCCCCAAACCCTCAATTCCTAATTCCAATAACACATCCAAGCTCTTCTCTAATCTCCCCCAACCCAAATCCCAAACCCCTCAACCACAACAGCCGCCCAATCCCCCAACTGCCAAGAGAATTGTTCAATTCAAGCCCCCTATAAACCCCATCAGCCACGTTGACTCCGATGATGACGATGATGCCGAAGAGGAAGAAAGACGAAAGCGCAGAGAATCCGAAAACCTATCCCAAGGCCCCTCTGTGAAATCCTTTCTATCGACCATACCTGCGCCAAGGAACTCGACTACTTTGGGCGTTGCCCCCTCTTCAGGTTCAGGAAGAAGATCCATTATCGAAACCACCCAAGTCCCCACATCGACTCCAACCACCGTTGAAGACAAGAGCGAGGCAGGTATTTATCATAATGCGCCCGATTATTCGAACTACGATATGGGTACAGATGCAAATGCCGGAAATTCTATGAACTACAGTAATTACGCCGATTACTTGTCAAGTAGTGATCAAAATTCTGGGAACTGTTCTGATCAAAATATAGGTCATTATGTGAATTATGCTGATTATAGTAGCTATCAATCGAGTAGTGACCTGAACATTGCGAGCAGTGATGTTGCTACTGCTTATGGGAGTTATGAGAATTATGGGAATTACCATGCCCAATATGAGAATGATTGGGCTGATGGGTCAGCTACTACTATATTACCAGATTCCTCAGGGATGGCTGAACTTGGGGTTAAAGTTAAGGGAAGCGAGGGAGGAATATACCAACAGAAATTGTTGGTGAAGCAGGATGAGCTTATGAAGAATCGGCCAAGGGAAGACCAGGTCAAGATGACTGGAATAGCTTTCGGGCCTTCTTATCAGGTATTGAACTTGAAAGCTAAGCTTCTTTTTCGGCATGTCGGTTTAATTTTTGTTCTTGTCTGATAAATTTCTTATGCCATGTATTGCACTCGCTTTTGTGTTACTTTCATACACTTGTTAAGTCACTTAATAGAAATGGTCAATGAAATCATTATATTTCTCATGCCATGTATTGCTGTTTAGGTTTTAGATTTCGAGAAGATTATTTCCATGAAATAGCATACCAATCAACCTTATTCCCATCGACAAGCAAAAGCTGATGATACATACAGTGCTCCATATGTAGCATAACACTTACAATGTGAATAAGCAAATTGTTGATGTGTGCATGATGTAAAAGAAGCTTATGTCACGCTCTTCTTATTCCTGAAAACTTGGAATATGGTACTAATTTTTTTGCAGTATTTTTTAATGGAAATTTGGATTTTATTGGTTGTTTGAGGAATATGACTGGTATTTTTCACCCCCGGTTTACAAGATTATTGAAAAAAAAAAGATGAGAACTATGAAAGAAAGTGCATTTTGAAGGATATTAATGCTAGTTTGACTAAAGCATTCTCTAGACGTATCCGATCTAGTGAGGAAATAATAAACAAAGAATAAAGGAGAGGTTGGCCTTAGGACAAGCAAATTAACCTTTTGAAGTAATCTTTTACCTTCTCACTCTGATATGCCATGGTATTCATGCTGTTCTATGGCAATTTGAAGGAAGATTAAATTGTTCACAATGTAGTCATCCTTGTGAAGTAGGCTGCACAAACTAACATTAATAGCTTGTTGCAAGTACAAAGTTTAGTATTTCAACCGTTCTGACCCTAGTTTTGAAGCCTAAATCTTGTTCTTCAAGTTGTTTAATCTTCACGATTTCTATGAAATTTTGAGTACTAAATCAAAAGATCTAAACTGTCTGTTTTGTTGATACCGTTCGCATTATGCACTGACAGCTATGTTTGTTTTTATACCCTTAAATTTTTATGGTATTTACCATCCTCGCTTTGCATGCATTGCAGCCTGCTTCTTCGAAGGGTAAACCGAATAAACTTCACAAGAGGAAGCATCAAATCGGGTCACTGTACTTTGATATGAAGCAAAAGGAGATGGAGCTGCAAGAGAGGCGATCTAGAGGTTTGCTTACTAAAGCTGAAACACAAGCCAAGTATGGATGGTAATCTTGTAACATTAATCCCTATGAAGCACGAAATGGTTAATCATGTGCTTCTTGTTTGTTTGTTTGCTTGCTTGCATCTGAGACTAGGAAATGATAGCCCCTTTGCTCCAATATGTTACTTCAAGCTGCATTTATGTTGTACTTTACAGTATCACTCCATAACATTGATCAAGTCGTCGAGCATGTCGTAAACCAATGTTTTTGACATCATAAGCAAAGGAAGTTCCAGTTGGGTAGTTTCTAGATCCCATTGAAATGGAAGGAAAACCATGCATTAGATGCTGCAAAAGGGCCGTCTCATATGATACTCGGCTCAAGTATCAATCAAGAAAAAAATGTTATATAACTATAGTAAAATCGATTCTCGACTTTATCTACATCAACAACCACCATCAAGTAAAAGAAAAAGGCGCGAATCCATATCGATCAAATCCAAAGAAAGCAGCAATACATGTCATACCAAACATCAAATTGTGTTTCCATGGTAGTTTTTCACTTAAATAAAAGGAAAATAAGTTATCTTTATTTTTGCATCGATGAAGACATCATCTTTGTGCTTATAGTTTCAGAAATTACAACCAGAAGTATTTAAGCAAATCCATTTGTCACCGGATAAACCCGAGATGGACAGAACAGGACCCGAACCATCTTTAAGCTGCGAAAAAAAAATTTGTGAAAGCACTAATATTTGTAATATACGCTAGAATAAATTAAAATACAAGTATTCAGATATTAGGCATGGCTATGCTTCACAGAAGGTGATATTTATTATAGGCTTAATACACAATTTAGCCACTCATACTATACTCGTTTTTCCAAACATTTTTTTGCTCACTTTGGTCATTATAATATCATTCGGCCACAGATTAAAAAAAACTTGCAATTGCAACCGATAAGTGGTAGGTGGAGACACATCAATTTAGCCCCACAAACTACTCATGTTTTTACTTTGGTCCATAAACTGTTTTTATATTCACTTTGATACTTAAACTATCATTCCGCCCCAGAGAAAGGAAAATTACTGTCAATGCTAGCTGATAAGAAGACATGTAGTAGACAGCGTTATCAATGACATAGATAAGGCAAACACATAGCACATTCTTATTGACTGGCACTGCTACCTTTTTTTTTTTAACATTGTTAAGTTTTTAGGGTAAAGAGGGGCAACGATAGTCTTAATTATCAAAATGTGTTGAAAAATTTAGGTACCAAAATGGGAAAACAGGTACAGTTCAATAGCTTAATCATGAAGAAAGCCTTTATTATACGACATGAGAGTATTACAACCAATCAGTAAAATAATAAGCTAAGATGGTTTAAAATAGGACATCCAAAAAACAAAAAGTCAACTATGCAATATATATATATATATATGCGTGTGTGTGTGTGATAAATATAATAAAAAAGACAAACATCAAGTAATAGAGAAAATATATTGGTTTTGGAATGGAGGGAACGTTGAAAGGCAATATGACTATATAATCAGATCATAACACCAATTATTTTTTCTTATGAAAATGGCAAATGAGAATAGCATAACACCGTTTAATAAACCAAGTTTCCATAGCACAGACATATTTATGAGGGAATAATTATCTTCTAGAGATGGAATTCATATCCTACACTACCAACTTCACACAGCTTCAAATAAGTTTCTATGCCACCCTTCACAACTCCCCACTGCTCCGAATAAAAAAAGAGGGTAAAAAAAGAACCCATAACACATATTTATCACTTGAACTTTAACATAGCCCTTATGACCGAATTTCTCAAATAAAAGTGATGCGACCGCATCGCAAACATTACAAATGTGTCACACATAGCAGCAACGCACTGCAATTTAAATTCCAATAAATGTATCGAAAACCATCTTCTCATATCAGCCACAATGTTTTTCCTCTATAATTATTATGAAACTTATCAGGTCGGCATAGGAAATGAGGATGCTACGGATGCCAACTAAGTCTAAGATTATCTAGTTTATGAAACACATAAACTATGGACTAAAAAACATTAGCCATGGAATAAGCACCTATCATATATTCATAAAAACCAGGCCAAAAGTTCGATTGTATCAGCATTCATGAAAATAAAGACTCTAAAACTAAAATTACCCGCATTTCAACAACGATAAATGAATACTCATTCCAAAGGACTACCCAGAACAACGAAACACTCGAAAATAAAAATAAAAAAGAGATGAGGAGTACCAAGATGGGATCAGTGATGGCCATGCTGCTCGGCATGTTGCTTGTGCTCGAGATGACGACGCTCGTTGGGAAGAGCGACGAGGTAGGAAAAGATCATCCCCCCGAAGCAGAGATGGTAAAGAGGTTCGATGGAGTCCGTCTCGATGTACTTGGCATGGTAATTGTCCAAACCCCTCTGAACAGCCTTCTTCACGTACCCAACAGATATCATCGGCTTGAAATAGCCCGGGACTTCCTTCAATTTCATCCCTTTTATCTCGCTATAAACTTTTCTCATTGCCATTTTCCCAATTTCAAGCAGACCCTAATTTCCCCCTTTTTTGGCTCTCTGCGTGGCGTACGGAGATCTAAAACAAACTTGAACAAGGATGAAACTTAGACGAGATTGTCATTTTAAGACCAAATAAAACAATGGCCTTAAGCCTCAATTGGTTGGGCCAGCTTGGTTATTCATCTTCTTTAATAATAGTATATTAGTTTTTCTTTATAAATAAATTTTCTAAAATATATAATTAATTATTATTCATAAAACTTTGGCTTAATAGTAATTAAGTAATCCTTAATATTTTTATATATCAAATTCAAATCTCATTTAATTTATAATCAATCTTTTTGTATATGTAATCATTTTCTTCCTTTAGTAATTTTATTCTTAATCACGAACCAAATGATCTCGGTCGTTAAAAAATATTTGTTATATATAAAGGATTCAGGTTTGAACACCAATGATTACAGGATAATTGAGTGTTCATTGTCAAATAATTGAATATTTTCAAAACGTATAATACCACTTGTAATCACCATAGATTAATAAAATTATATATAATACATTAAATATTGAACAAAGTACGCAAATGATCTCTTGACTTTAGGGCACTGCTTTGTTGAGTCTCTAACTATTAAAAGTTACAAATTGACAACTCAATTATTTATATATTTTAAACTTGTCCATTTTCGTTAAAAATTTAGGATCATCTGAGCTAGGCTTTAACTTATTGTTTGAGATATAATAAAATCATTTTTAATGATGTTTATTGATACTGTCATTGCTTTCAAGCACCATTTCGATAATAATATAGATAAAGACTATATCCATAAAATGCAGCTCAAACAGTTATGAAATTAGATTTTATTATATTATAATCAGTAGATTAACATCCAACTTAGTTTGTCATTTTTTTAACAAAAAAATTGCAAGTTAAAATATGTATAGTGAGACTAAATTTGTGTATTCAACTTATATGTTAGATTTGTATATTTTGAGATATTTTTAATAAAATAAAAATTAAAAAAACAAATAATTAAATAACATGAGATAAATTTTAGCTTAATACCAAAATAAGTGTCCAAATTATACCCTAAAACCTAAATAGATGCCTAAACTAATTTTCGTCTCATCCAGGTAGCTAACGTTACAACCGTTACTCATTTAGGTGCTCGGGCTGTCAACGACGTTAATTTTATGTCGTTAAGTGACACGAGTCACAATCTAGTGATTTTAAAATTTATTTTTTAAAATAAATTATTAAAAATATTAAGATATTTATAAAAAATAACTTTTCATATATTATAAAACAACCCTAGAATCTTAATCCCAACCTTAATTCGTCATTGTTGCCCTTTTCGACCATGGCCACGACCACCAAAGTAGTCCCTACCATCCTCCTACTCATACACCGTCGCATTTTTAGTCGATCGACAGTCGGAATCGCGTGGAATTATGATTTTAATCCTAGGGTTAAAACGGTTTAAAACGTTGATTCGTCTTCGATAGGCTGTCTATTAGTAATGATTTTTTGGTCACTGGGGGAGGGGATGTCGGGTAGAGCTTCGTCGACGACAAAAGACGACGGGCGACATGGGTTTAAGGATTGAAATGAAGGTTTTCAAAGTTTTGGGTTTATTTCAAAATTTATGTTTTCTGTTTTTTTAAAATATATAATTTTAATCTTTTAATTTTTAAATAAAATTTTTAAAATTACTATATTGTGACACGTGCCATTTAATGGAAAAATTAACACCGTTACCAACCCAGACACCTAAATAGATAATGTTTGTAACGTTAGATACCTGAATGAGACGAAAATTAGTTTAAACACCTATTTGAATTTTAGGGTATAGTTTGGGAGCTTAGTTTGGTATTAAGCCTAAATTTTAACTAAATTGAAGAAAATATAAATGCAGAGCAAGAAGAAGACTACTCAAAGCCAAACCAAACAGATCCGAAATCGAAAACAAAGAAAAAGTTATGGCCCGAACGCTATCGAGAACCCTACTCCTCAGCCGGTCCGTTCTCCACCACCGCTCCTCCTTCATCCGCCGCTTTTCATCAAAGCCTGAGCTTTTCGAAATCGATCTGGACTCCGCCTCTTCATCAGCCTCCGCCATTAACAAAATGGAGGAAATCATCCACGCCATAGTAGTCCAGAGATCCACACCTGATTGGCTCCCTTTCTTCCCGGGCTCCTCCTTCTGGGTCCCTCTGCCTCGCCATGGTTCCAAGCGAGTTTCCGATATTATTGACCAGTTGACCAATCAACTCACTCCCGACGAGTACCTCTCTCTCACCACTGGCCGCGGCTGGCCCTGCTCCTCCTTTTTTGTTTCAGGTAATCTGCATTTCATCCATTATTGAAGAAATCGGCGTTGAGTTGTTTTCATCAGAGAAATAATTTTGTGATTTGGGTTGTAGATGGTGAGCATACAGATGTTTCAAGCATGGATGTGAAATTGAAAAATCCAGAGCAGCAGGAAGAGGAAGAAGAGGTGGAAATTTCGAGTGATTCGGACGGTGAATCTTCTTGACACGCGGATGGTTATGATTATCCTACTGAATTATTTCCATCTCTCGCAACATGCTTCCTCTCGTCTCAGGTGAGTCGTTTCTTTTCGGTACTTTGCCTGAGTAGCTCAGTTCTTTTGGAATATGATTAACAGCTGAAGTATGATGTTTCTTCAGCATCAGTCAAATTATGCAATTGGTTTAACTGAATTAGCTTCCAGGACGGAACTTTAAGCTGACAATATATAGTTTTGTTTAATTTCATCGTTTTCTTTTTCCCGAGTCATCTGGTTAACAACTTTAAATTAATTTCACTTTTTTCTAGCTGAAAGCTGCTCTCTTTTTTGTCAAGCTTTACTTCCTGTTTACATGGTTTTTATGCTAGGGGTTCAATCCACTAACTCTGGGTAACTCTATACATGTATAAAAGCAACAGAAATGCTTGTTAACTTACCATCGAAAAAAAGCAATAGAGGGTTGTTGACACTTTGAAGGACAGTTTCCTTTTTCTCTTGAAGCTGCCAAAAAAAATTAGCTGACAATTAGTATCCTGAGTTTAATCCAGTGATGGCCATTAGTGATCGGATATGAAAGTCCTTAAATACGTATATTCAAAAACTGGTTTTGGTTTTACTTCATGGAAGTTAGGGTGTGTTATTGACAGGGATTTTGTGACATATTTTGTAGTTCTATGATTTTTGGCAAATATATGTCAATGCTCGATGTATACTCAAAGCAATTGTGTTTCTTGGAGCTAGAACATGGAGTGAAAGTTGTCTGCATGCTTGTACAAGTAAAGTCTAGAAAACTATTGTGTTGCTGCAAGAGCTGAAAATGAATAATGATTTTTAATATTCATTTTGTTAATATGATCTGAACGGTTGGAAAATCGAAGTAATGATCGTGATATGTATTAGTATTACTTTCATAGCAGCAACCATATTGCCATGTGTCTTTGAGAGCGAAACATTGCCATTTTTATTTTCAATACGCAGCTATCAGATCAGTTCATTTGAACAATTATCTTGTTTCCGCCACGGTAGATAATTTACAAAATTCTAATCGATACGTCATGTTTTTGTTGATTAGGCTTTTCATTTTCCCCTCTGGTTCAGATCTGAAACTGTGGTGATAGATCTCCACCCTTTTGTTATATTTCTATCGAATTAATGTTTTGCATATGCAGGCTTGCTCACCTTTCACATCTAGTTCATTACGGGAGAGGCTGCTTAATGGAATGCAAGTAAGATGTTGTATAGATACAATTTCCATAGTCTTAGTATAGAGAGTTTAATGTTGTTCTTTGCTTAATACCTCTTTAACTTTATTCTACCGTGGAAGTGGTTGATGCTTGGTTGAGCGCCAGTTACCGATGTTTACTGTACATTTGTACGTATTGGCGACTCGTTGTTTAGTTTATTTAAGCTTTTAAAGTTAATTAACATAAAAATCCCATGGTTTATATCGTGTGTTCTGCTTTAAGGCTATTAGTACTTTTGTCTTCGATCATTACAATTCAGCATCAGTCGACTTGCCTCGGTATTGTCATGAATTTTCCCCAAGCCTACTTTGATCAGTGTACAGTATTTTTAATGATTTTGTACAGAGCTTTGCATCACACTGTTATGGTGGGTTTCTTGGATCGATTGGTTATCGATTGCATGAATTTCCTAGTTCAAGTGATCAAAAGCTACACTAAGACATATTCAAGTATATACATAAAAAAATGGGTTAAAGAACACAAATGGTCCCCGACTATAGGGTATTATTTTATTAAGTCCTTCAATTATTAAAAGTTACAAAATTATCCTTCGACTATGAAATGTTGTTTTGTTGAGTCCCTCGACTATTAAAAGTTACAAAATGATCACTCGACTATTCATTATATTCCATAGTCGTCTTTTTCCATTAAAAAATTGTCGGTTGTTTAAGTTGTATGACAACATGATGGTTGAGATATGATAGTATTTTGAGATTTTAAGATTAAATTTTATCATGTCACAGCCAACAAGTTAACGTTCAACTCAGAATATCGTCTATTTTTTAACGGGAAATGACAAGATTAGAATATAATGAATAGTCGAGTTATTATTTTGTAACCTTTAATAGTCGAGGGACTCAACAAAACAATATTTTATAGTCGAATGATCATTTTGTAACTTCTAGTAGTCGAGTGATTTAATAGAGCGGTACCTTATAGTCGGAGACCATATGCATTCTTTACCCTGAAAATCCTTTGTATTTTAAAATCGACTGATTGGTTCGTTAAATATTAGCAAGAAAACCGGTTCGGCACAGGCTCATGCTTGGATGGTAATATATTTATGTCCAAGTGCATTCAAACCTAGTTTTTTTTTCTTGGATGTTGCAACAGCAATGATACATTGGTAAATTATGATTGTTAATTGTTTTATCATACTAAAATGATTATATAAATATGTAAAAATAAATTTATACTAATATTATCTATGATTTAAAGGAATAGTATTTTAGTTTTCAATTGAATTAGTATGTAATATATAATTTTTTATGGATGAACTATAAGAGTTAGCTTTTTCAATTTAATACCCAAGGCCAAGGCCATTGCTCTTTTTAAGTGAAATAATTTGGAAAATTCGATTCTAATCATAGTCGAGTTCTTAATAAAAATGATTAAGAAAATTAAATCATAAACTCTAATCACCTCTCAATTCCAAATTAGTAAACTACACGAGGTCTTCTCACAAAAATTATGAAATTTGATTTTAATCAAAGTCTGAACTATTAACAAAAGAAAATTACTCTAAGCTTATTTTAAAAATTAGAGTACATTACAAATTTCATCATTGAACTTTACTCTCTCATATTTTGTTCACTGAACTTTAAAAGTTTTCAATCTCGTCACTAAACACTCTAACTTATTTTAAAAATTAGAGTACATTACAAATTTCATCATTGAACTTTACTCTCTCATATTTTGTTCACTGAACTTTAAAAGTTTTCAATCTCGTCACTAAACTTAACGTTAGAGTTTTTGTATCACTGAATTTTACTCTATTTCTCATTTTGGTCACTCATTTGTTAAATAGTTAACAACATTAAAAATGACACTGTTTTTAAAAAGAAACATTTTTTTACCAAAACAATTTCGTCTTGGATGGCAATTTTTGATAGACTTCCTACTCGGGAAAGACTCATTCGAATGGGGATAACCACTGAAGGTTCTTGTGCTTTCTGCAACGAGGGCCTTGAAACAAGAAACCATTTATTTGCTGATTGTGCTATGGTTGATTCTCTTTGGAATAGAATTCTGCATCTTTCACTCTTAACCAAGCCTCATATGCCTTGGGATATCAAGCTTGCTTGGGCTATTTCTTGTTGGAAAGGTAAATCTCTTCTTTCCTCTATTTTGAAGATTGCTTGGAGCACTTTCATCTATTTTGTTTGGGAAGAAAGAAATAGACGTCTATTCCAAGGTAGAGCTAGAACTATGGATGACTTGCTCATTGCTATTAAGGAGACTGTTGGTTCTCTACTTAGGAATAGAGAATAGATAACTTAATAGACTTGATTTTGTTAATATGCAACTTTGTACCAATTGGGGTATTTGTTAACCATTCTTTTGTTGTAATTAGCTTTATTTGATCTTTGATTGTATTGTAATGTACTTTCTCTTATTTGGATAATAAAATTTTTACTTATCCAAAAAAAAGTCATTTTGAATCAATATAAGAGTCCAATTTAATGTCGTTAACTATTTAATGATCAAATAACCAAAAAACCTAATATATTAAATTCAGTGAGGAAATTAAAAAGATTTAAAGTACGGTAAGTGAAAATAGAAGATATAGTAAAATTTATTTACCAAATTTATAATTTTCCCTAAAAATTAATCGCTATAGTCGGGAAAAAAACCTTTTATTTATAGAACTTCAGAGTTAAGATATATATATATAACAATTGTTTGGGTAAAAAGCGTATCCCAACAAAATTAATTATTAATTTATTTCAGTAATTAAAGAAATTGTTGTTATTCTTAGAGATGATTGAATATTCATTGTCAAATAATTATAAGTATTTATAATACATAATACTTTATAATCACCTTAATTTAATAAAAAATAATAATTACATGATACGTGGCATGTTTCAATTGGCAAAAACACCACAACATTTTTTATCAATATTTAAAAAAAACCTTGGAAAGGAAAAGGTTTATCTATAAAATTGATCCGACAAATTTTAGTGATTGAAATTTAGAACAATCGAGCTGATTTGAATTTGATTCCACCCTCGTCATGGCTGTAGAATCTGAAACGGCGTCATCTAGCTCACAACCAATGTCCTCCGTTAACACTGCAAAAGCACCCCAGGTTTTCATCTTCAATTCACAATTTATCTCTTGAGCGATCTTTTCCCTACAATTCAATTGTTCCTTTATTCGTTTGCATCCGTGCGTTTTTCGATAGAGATTATATATTTTGGTAGCTTGAGAAGAATAATTTTTTATTCAATTTTTTCCAATTACCTCTTGGGGAATTTCGCTGGCTTATGGGGCTGGGTTTTTCTAGGTATTTCTTAGCTTCCCCCCTTTTAGTCGAGATAAAATATTGGGGTTTTCAGTGGGGTGGATATAAAACGATGGTTTTGATTCATCTAATGTCTATGAATTATGAGATCTGAGTTCTAGCTATATCTATCTTCTGGCAAATTATTGGCCGATGATATCATATGTTTTGAGTTAAAATTTAATTTGTTTAATACAATAACTTTGATTATTATTATTATTATTATTATGTTGAGTTCTACCGCTTTGTGTCTGTAATTTTCTTTCCACTCTTAGTTTCTATGTATCTTTTATGTTGCAGCTTCCTGGATACTTTGGTGTTCCAGATTTTCAAAATGGTGATTTCCAGATGTTTCCGGTTATGTATCCTGCAATTATCCCGGGTTTAACTTCATTACAAAATCAGGAACAGATGAACCGTGGAGCAGGCGTTTATGCTGTTCCTGTTCAACCATTTATGGGGCATATTGCTGGAATTCCATCTAACAATCTCATTCCCCTCACCTATAATATACCCACGTAAGTAAATTTGCAGCTTGTATATTTCTGTAGTTTATCTATCTACCTCTTGTTAAATGAAGATGTTCACCTACCATTCTATTGGATTAGGATTCAGCACCTGTAAGTGATATCCTGTACAATACTTTATTCGTCCAACTTTTACCACGAAATCTGATTCCAGTCAATTTGGTTGAGTTTGGACAAAGAAGTTGGTATGCTGGGTATGTTTGATTGTTTTTTAAGATAAATTCATGACCAAGCTATTTAAATTAATGTGAGTATGTATTAGATTTCAAATTTCATCCTGGTTTACTGTCTTTTTCCCTTCGCTATATCCAGCCTGTTAACTTTCCTTTTATTGTTACAACATTCAGCACCTAGCACAAGCTTTTGAGCAGCTGCCATTACTAGACAATTAGGCGCCTCATTTTGTTATTTTCTATATATTTTGCTTCTTCTTTTTCTCCTTTTTATTTACATATATTTAAAGATAAAAAATTAGCTATAGTGCTATACATTCAATTTCTAGGAAAAGGGGATTTTATTACGCTGTAGGAAGAAAATGGATTTGCTAACTGGCACTGAAATAAAAATAATCTTACATTCATTTTCTAGGAAAAGGGAATTTTTATTACGCTGTAGGAAGAAAATGGATTTGCTAACTTGCGCTGAAATAAAAATAATTTCAGACATCCGATTCAAATCTCCTGATGTTATCAGTCTTCATGCTTTTAACTTGTTTAAATTTCCATCCTCCCTTTTCCTTTTATCTTACATTGCTATCATACATCCGATTCAAATCTCCTGATTTACTTTTACCTTACTTTGTTGCATGGTTTCCATTAACAGACGGTCGGAGGCAGGAGCCACAGTTGAGGAGCAAGAGCAAGGAGCACAACAACCGCAACATCAACAGATGGGACCTCAAAGACAAGTTGTTGTAAGAAGATTCCAAATTGTATTTCAGCTAGATTTGTTGCTTATACTTAAGCTAGCAGCTGTAATATTTTTGTTCAACCAAGATGGATCAAGACAGAGGCTGGCTGTCCTTGTGTTCTTTGCTTCACTTGTCTATTTGTAAGTTCTGAGCTTCTAATTGCTTTGAATTTAACGCTTGCTCTGCTCATCAGGACTGCCATTTTCCTTATTATTTAGTTTAAGTTTAGATACAAGTCCTAGAATCCTGCTTTTGACCATCTTTGTACTGATTGGGTTGCTATGGCTTGATGGGTCCTTGTGCATGAGTAAGGGTTTAGGAAGAAGGTTTTTCTTCTTCTGTAGAATGGAGAATGTGACTTTTGCTTTAAAAGAAATTGTGATCCTTTCTTTGGATGTTGGGTGAAAGGGGGGCATTTTTACCGTTGGAATCACATATACTTCACTAATGGCGTTAGAGTTTAGGCTAATAAATGGGGGGGGTCTAGTTTTTCTAAAATAATGATGGGTGGTTCCCTTTTCACTAACCTTTCACTTCCACATTGTTTTTTGTTTTTTGGTCGAGATAAACAATGACAATTGTTTTCTTGCAGGTATCAAACTGGAGCCCTCACGCCATTGATAAGATGGCTTTCCCAAGGCATGCAGAGGGCGGCCGCACCTCCTCATCCACGTGCGCCTGCTGCCAGAGCAGAGAATGTTCCTGCTGCTGGAAGGCAGGGCAATGAAAATGCGGCTTTGGCTGGTACTCTCTTTTAATGTTTAATATTTTTGTGAATCTAAATTCGTTCAGCCTTTCATTCATATTTTATTTATTTAACATCATATCTTAACTGACCAGCAGGAGCGGAGAATGAGAACCGACCAGCAGATGATGGCAACCAGGCAGTTGAGAATGAGAATGAAGCCGACCCCGGTTTAGGAAATGCTCGTAATCAATGGTGGGGGATCATAAAGGAAATCCAGATGATTGTTTTCGGCTTCATCACGTCTCTCCTCCCAGGCTTCCACAACATAGAGTAGGTCATACTTCAGAGATCTGACAATCTTATCCTTGCTAATTAATCATAAGAGTAAGAGGAAAAGTTGAAACCGATGTTTATATAGGTGCAGTCGTTGTACGGTGCTTGGTAGCCCCACTGCATCTGCAACAGGCATTTCTGTTTTATTTACGAACCAGCACGCTTTATGTAGTTGTTTGGTTGTTGAAATGGCAAGCAAATGAGATGCAGATTTCTTTGTAATGCAGCTATGGAACGAGAGGCTGACTTCATTTATGGATGTTTTCTTGACAGAGTTTTGGGTCATTTCTATTGTTGCGTACTTGACCTTTATTATTTGTTATTCATGTCAACATCTAAATCAATTTATTATTTGTACGGAATCTTATAAATTGAGATCTTTTTATAATAGACTTATACAATATATCATCCGAATTAATCGATCATTCAGTCAAATATCAATGGGCGGATATACAAAAATAAAGCTCATCATAAAACTAAGAATCTTGTTGCAATTCTATTTCCTCGTACAATAAGTTACAACAGAAGTGTATGCACATCCCTGATTCTCTCACACTGACAAAGACTTCTACATACAGTGGCCAACAAATCAAGAAACCAACAAAACTTGTTTTATTAGAGTAAAAATGGTAATTACATAAGTATATACAGGTTGCCTTAAAAGGAAAAAGAAACAAAAAAATCTCACATTTCTGATAAAAGTTTGCTGATCTTTCGAAGCTCCTTGAGAGCTGTAATGGTTGTACCTTGCCCTTTACCAACTAGATTGTTTTTAGACAAATTCTCCAATGATCCTACTTGATCTTGCTGGAAAACCGACTCCAGAAACTGTCAATCAAAACTCGCTCATTCGACAATTCCATGGAATTAAACCGGTTCAGGTTTTAGTGATTCAACAATAAACATTTTCCATGGAATTAAACGGGAATATTACCTGGATTTGGTCAAGCATAGCCTGCCCAAGATTCTTCAATGTCCCCATCATACTCTGGTCCACAGTATCACCTTTGCTGGTCGGATGCAAGTTACAAGAAGCACCAGCAGCAGATGAGTCTGCTGTACTGCTCTTGCCATCATGAATTGGAGGTTTTGCAGCCTCCTTGGTACCTCCTCGTTTATCGGATGTCTCCTCACTGACATTGCTTCGCCCAAACTTCCGAAACCACTGGAATTTACCTGAAAGATGCCTTCTCTCCTTTGTTGATGAGGTCTTCCCTGAAGATTCATTCCCATGCAGAGGACTTCGAGAGACATATTCGGGAGGAAGGGGAACCTGATGAGGTAAATCTTCTGAGCTTCTCTGCCGGTGATCATCGTTATCATCTACCGATAAATTTGAAGTAACACTACTCTTTTCTGTGTCGTTTTCATGATCATTAATGCTACAACCGGGAGGACTTGGTGGGTCTGAAAAAATAGATGAGTTCTCTTCACTGACAACAGCTCCACTTCCATTCTCACAGCTGTGCAAATAGACCTTTGTTAGCACAATTTTGCCCCTCCCCCTGAACCTCTTCAGAACGATAGTCGTCTGAATTAAACCCTCCCTTTACAGCATCATCCTCCAAGCCGAGCTTCTTGGACAAATCTTCAAGCAAACTACGCCTAATGGAATGATTGTCCTTTTTGAATTTTTCTTTTATTGCAGGTGATGGGGCAGATTCAGTTCTAAGTAGGCCAAACTTTACTCTTTCAGACCATCCCTTTTTCCCACTTGTAGTATGCTTTTCTAAACTATTTTGCCTTAATTCCTCTACCTTATGAAGCACTCTCCATTTTTCTTCCCAATAGCTGTCAAGCAGCGGGCTTGGAGCAGGTTTTGGAGAACCTAAATCAGATGAAATTTTGTGACCGCTCGATGGAGATTTCATGCAGTTATAAGCCCCACCAAATGCGGACGATAAAGATGCTTTGTTAGATTCCAATGCAAGACTTTGCAGTGACCTTGCCTTCTCTATACGATTTTCCAGATTTATACTCTGGAAAATTCAAGAGTCTCTGAAGACAAGAAGTTGCAGTTTCAGTGGCAAGCAAGGAAGATCTCAGATAAAGTATCATAGAGACTGCCATAGCAGCAATTAGTGCTCCACGGCGTGAACTGTGTAGTTTAAAACTGAAATGGTCAACGTCCTCAGAAACTTTATCGAGTGGGCTATTTTATTCTGAGAAAATCTCATCCCATACAACTAAGAGATTTTGAAGTGAAAATTCCCGTCCAAATAAAACCCGCAACCAGCGAAGTGCAAAATACTGCGGTTCAACGCCAAGCTCAACAAGATGGGTATGCAGAGATGAATCAACGATTGACAGTAAATGATATGGTGCAGCCGAGGCTTCAATGACAGGAGGCAAGCCACTTTGGGACTCGGCTAAAGGAGAGGAAGCAAAAAAATCTGCCATAGCAACTGACCCACGTGCCCCAATCATCAGAGCATCAAACATACAATAGGCATCATGTTCCATAAATTTCTCAGACAAGACAATACCAAGTTCACCTTCAGCTCCATAAGCATCACTTAGCAATACAATAGCCTGTATCTCGGAGTCAAGCTCATAAAGACTGCAGACTTTCTTTGAATTGCGTTGAGATCCTACCTCATCTTCCATAGAATCTGAAAACTTCTTAAAATCAAAATTGTAAGCACCACCATTCTCTTCAAATGGAAATCCATCAAATTTGTCAATGAACCGATCTTCATATAGCTTCCGCACTTCTGAGAGACGTTCAACATCAATATGAAGAACGTACAGCAGAGGAGCCAAGAGTTCATGCATTCCTACAAATAAGCAAGAAAGAGAAACAGATTATGAACCAGTTTTTGATGCCTCACATATTCATATAATAAGAGTTAAAATTTAGTTGACCCAGGATTTTGTCTTCCAAATCCAACGGTTTTTCATAGGACACTACGAAATAAGATTTGAATTACCAACTCCAACTAGCCTTCGCCTACGATGATCAACACCATATTACTTTTATGTCTTAAACATTAGGATCCAAAACCTTGAAAACACAATAAATGTTTTGCATTGCAAGGCATTTGCTCATTTCATTTTTCAAAATCTACAATGAGATAGCATAAAAAGTAATAACACATGCGTGCAAAGCGGTTAACAAAATACCTTGTCTATAACCGCAGTCTGGGTGTCTAAGGCACCTAAAATCATAGAACAAAAACCGATTACAATTACCTGGGTTTTGTGAGAGTGGATTATCCATAACAAGATCGCGGGAATTTCTTGCTCCATCTTTGGGAATTGGGAACGTGTGGATCCACCAGCAGTTGCCTTCTCAAACCAGCATATCTAAATGCTCATAAAACCAGAGATTTGAGACTACGACAGTTAGCTTTTATTCTATTAAAAAAATGTAAAAATGGAAATAAAAACTCTAATAATTGATTATTGTAATTTAATTAACGAAAATAATGTTTTTGAAATAATCTGAACATGAAAAACAAGGGTGAGTGAGGATAAAATTTTAAGTTTTTATTTATATTTTAGATTTTTTATTAAAAATTTATTTTTGTCTTTAAAATTTTGAAAATTTATTTGTACTATTTTCTTAAATATGTAAATAAAAAATAAAATTATTAATTATAACAGATCCAGTCATTGATATTACATTAGATGAAGTTCAGCCTAATATATTATACACAAGAAACATGAGTGACCCATCAACAACTAGATCGTTTTTGATGGGACCCACGTTAAACTCCTATTGAAAATAGTGGGCCATTCCAATATATTAATTTATTGGGTAAATAACAGTTTAGTACATAAACAATTAGTTTTAGTCTATTTTAGTACCTAAACTATTAGTTTTTTCAAAACCGTACATAAGGTTTAGTTTTTATTTCATTTTAGTACACGTGTTCAAAATTTAACGTTAAGTTTTGAAAAAATTGAAAGTTCAGGTATTAAAACGGACTAAAACTGATAGTTTAAGTACTAAACGCATTAAGTTTTTAACGGCGGGTACTAAAATAAAACAAAACTAAATATTAAATATGGTTCTAAAAATTTTAAAGTTTAAGTACCAAAATAATTAAAATTAATAGTTTAAATACTAAATGCATATTTTACTTTAATTTATTTATATCGCTAAACATTAATTTCAGTTGGGCTTGGAGAATCATTTATTTATAATCCTAATATATGGCCTGCAAAAATACTTGCCCAATTCCATTTAAGTTTGAACCATTTCACGACTCAAAATAAATGAGATATTAAAAAAATGATAATTCTTCAACGTTTGACGAAAAGTAATGAGTATCATTAATTTAATTTATAAAAATTTAAATTTTAAATGACTCAATATATAATTATAAATTAGTTCAAAATTTAAAGATAAATAATTTAAAATAAAGCATAAACTATATCAGTGACCATCTAACTATTGTCTTTTTTCATTTTGATTAATATTTTTGAAAATTTGTCAATCAAGTCACTCAACTATTTAAATGCATTCAATTAAGCCACTTATCGTTAATATTTAACGGAGAAGCTGGTGTGGCAGTTAAAATATTTAATATAATTACATATTTGGTCATTGTTACTTATATATTCTATCAATTTGGTCTTAATTTTAATAAAATTAAAAAAATTAACCCTCAAAACAAATGGTGTCAGATATAATGACCCAAAATTCAACTTTTTATTTTTATTTATTTTAATTTTAAAAGTTACGACATATTATATATATTTATAAAAAACAAAATTTATAACAAAACTTTTTTTCTAAAAAAATTTAATAACTCAAGCAATAATTTATAATATTTAATTTAAGCAAACTAAATTTAATGCCTTTTTGATATAGGTTAATCTCTTAGTTTTTTTCGAGCTAAGTCCATCAAGAATCTTATCAGTATAAACTTTTATTAAAGATAAACATAAAATTTTACGGTATGAAATGAATTTTTAAAATTTTAAAAGAAGACCGTATCAATCGTGAAAGAAATATATGTCACATTTTTCTATTATAAATTTACTAGATAAAAAATTATTAGTTTTACAGGTTAGACTATATCACCTTTTTCTAGTGGAATGCCATTTACAAATAGCAGTAAGATAAAAATTTTGTCCAACGAACTTTATATGCATGGACTAATAAACTATATTTTCTTTAAAACTAAGAGAGGTTATGGTACCATTGACGGGATGCTTTCTTTAAAACTAAGAGAGGTTATGGTACCATTGACGGGATACTTTTAAGAACTATAAATGGAATTTA